GACGTGATGATGAAGACCTTATATAACTTAGGACACAAACAGAAAGGCACAACCACACGCACAGAAAGTAAAACAAATCCTCAAGTTGCAGTGTTACTAATCAATGTAAACAATAAACTCCAATAACAGATGACCTACAAAAGAAATACTATGAAGAAGCCAGATGGTCAAAGAACAATAATTGCTGACTTTCAAATTCTACTAATAGCGTGAAAACAAAACAGTGTAAGCATCTTGGACTGCTTTACACCAGGAGGTGTTATAAATTTATTAGAGGCAGAGTGAGCTAACAGCCCTCTCCATCCCTCTGATCCCAGCTGGTATGGCCGCCCACACTCCTCTGCCAGCCACAGAGACAAGACGGAGAGGGAGAGAAACACAGAACGTCAATTTAACCGAGTTATATCTCTGACACCAACACTCTCTTGCACTTTTTGCAAACCAGAACAAATGGCGACTAGTTTCACTCGGGCAGATCCGAGCAGTTCACGTTGTTGATTTATAAGAATGTCAACCACTGTATGGTAATTATACACAATGCAATCAGTTATGCTTGCTTCAGCTTAATAACAGGTGTATCTTAAACACTAATGAATATTATAGCTGAAATTGTGTCCCTGTGATTTAATCGTCTTACAAGAAAGACTCCTCAGATGCGTTAACACTACAGCTGGCTCGCTGTTAGAATGGCTGACCCATGTTATGTTCAGTTTTGTTGTAGCTTTGTTCTAGCTGAAATCCTTTCTGCCATTAAGCACGAGTATGAACACAAAAGGGCTGTTTTTCTGTTAAATCAGTCGGTTACAAACTGCTATTTAAGGTAGAGGACTGATACAGATGGTGCATAGCAACTATCAGCATCACCATCTCCTATTAATTCCATGACGACACTAAAAGAGAGCAGGATGGTGAGAGGTTACCATGGTAACATTCTTAGTACCCCTTCCTACACTCCCTCCCCGCGTGTTTTGGAGCCCTGATGGTCCAGACACATCAGACGCGGATAACTGTGACAGCAGTAAAAATGTTAAAGGCCTAATTCGCAAGACAAATTGTTCCGTCTGTCTTTGATGATGATGGATTAGTGAATCTGGTTCCAATCTGTGGAGGCTGCGGCGGCTCCCAAGAGGCGTGTGGATCCAGCGCTAACAAAGCCAAAGTGTTACAGTTTCATGAGCATGCAGCAGAGCACGCGTCTTTGTTCAGCCATGTATATTAACAGAAACAAAGTCGGAGGTGAACTACAAGACTGAAGCTGTTCAGGCGGTTTTGATTATGACCCTCGGGCAGCCCTTGCAAGGTTTAACAGAGCAAACAACCATACGTCATGCAGAAAATGAGGTCTTTTGGAGATGTTCTCAATCACCTGCCCCTAGAGAGTCCAGGTGGGGAAGAAAAAGGGCCCCTGTTGATCAGAGCTGCCCTTGAAAGGTTTATTTATATAGGCTACCTGAGGCAGGAATGGGAGCAAAGACGACTATAGCCCAGCTAAAGACACCTCTGTCTGAAACGGAACATTTCTACCCCTCAGCCTGCTGATAAAAATGGAGGAAGTGTGGTGTTTCTAACAGCCATCAGAGGTGGACTGTTTTCTCTTTGAAAAAATGTTGATCTATAATGTTTAAGCCTTTAAAATTTTAGGAAATACAATGTTTTGATCTGTGTTGTGTAGAAGAGTGTATGGTAGACAGAAGGAGCGTCACACTGTACCTTGTCACTACTGTTGCCTTCAGGCTCTGTAGCGTCCTCTTCAGACCCAAGCAGCCTTTTCTCTCCTTGCTGGTCATCAGGGAGCCGTTCTGCACTTTGTAGAGGGCTGATTCTTCCCTCTTTACGCATCGCATCACTCTTCTCTTCTACACAAGCATCCATCTTTCCTTCTTCTACAAGTTCCTCTGTGTGTGACGCTTCCTCTTTTAATGTGACCTCTTTCTCTTCCGCTGTATCCTCTTGCTGGGGCTCTACAAGTGTTCTCTGACACTCCTTGTTCCCCTCATGTAAAAGTTGAGCGCTCACTTCTAAAGTTTTACTCTCCGTCTCGAGTGCAGGAGATGATGTATTTGACTGTCTCACTTGTAACGATAGATTTTCCACACTTCTGTCGTTAATGTTCTCCGCCACTTTACTGTAACCCCCCGTTTGTATGTCCTCTTTGCCCTCACCAAGAATAACTCTATTCTCATCTTCTTCAACAACAAGGTCATGTGACTTCTCCTTATCTTTCCCAGACTCCTCATTCTTGTGAAATTCACCTTCACTTATCTGCTCATTATCTTTATTTTTATGATCGGTTTCACCCTCGAGGTTCTCTTCATCCCCCTCTGGGGTTAGCTGAAGTGGTAAGATGTTTTTGCCACTTTCTCCATCCTTGTCATCATCACTTTCATTTAAATTGGTGTCGTTTCCGTTCCCTTGCTCCTTTATTTTATCAGATGTCTCGTGCTGACTTTCTATTACCTCTTCCTCAGAATGAACTGCCATTTCAGCTCCAACCATCTCAGGTTCTCCATGGCCCAGTGCAGCAGGTATATTTTGGTTTGTTACCACAGCAGTAACCTCACAATTTTCCTCATGTTGCGTTTCTAATATTTTAGTCTGTAAGACCTCTATTGAATCCTCTTCCTGGGGCTTTTTCTCCCCGTCCTCTTTAGTCTGTTGAGCTCCTGGAACATCTTCAAAGCTTATCTCAACCAAGGAATCCACCTTTGGTGAGGTATGACTGTCTAAACCCCCCTCTATATGAGCTAAACTTTCATGTATTTCCCCAGAAGAATCCCCAGTATCTCCTCCTTCCTCTTTAGCTAGTTCTGCTTGATCTTCTGCTTTTTCTTGATTGCCCTCAGGCCCTTCAGATTCAGACAATGAACGTTCAACGGTTCTCTCCGGGTTGGATATTGAGCTTTCTTCTTCAACAAAATGTGTATTATCTCCTTCCATTGTTCTGCCTGTCTCTTTAAACTCTGTAGCACACACATCCACATCAGCTAACCCTGAATATGGAAAAACCTCCACTGAATGTTCAACCTCAGCTTTTTCCTCTACTTCTAAATCTCCAGTTGTCCTATCCTCAACTGCAACTGCAGTTTTGTTTTTATCACATAGCTCATCTTCTGCTCTTCCTAACTCCTTAGCACAAACATCTACATCTGAAATCCCTCTGACAGCTAACAAGTCCGGGGGATTTAACTCAGACTGGTGTGTATCTTGGTCTAGAAGAGAGCTGCTACCTTGTTCATCAGCTGCCCTGTCAACTTTATCAAATGTGGTTATTGTTGGGGCCTCCTCCTCCTCTAGCCTACTCAGTTCATCTCGCTGTATGTCTTCAGCTAGGAGCCTGTTGACTGATTCCTCTTCTTTTGCTGTTGAAATCATGTCTTTCTCTGCAATATCATATTCTTCTTCTTCTGTATTTTCAGTCGAGCCAGTCTCTTGAGTGACGTTGGGTTGTGGGATGGAAAGAAGTGAAACATCTGCTGAATGACTTGATTCATCTTCAGTTTGAGACTCATATGATATCTCTCTAAAAAGTACATCAAAAATAAATGTTAATGTGAGAAATGTACAGAATGGCAAAGAGAAACTTTAAGCTATAACACCGATATTATGGAGGCCTCCTCTGTGAACCTTTTTCTGTCACCTGTCATCTTCTTGCAGAGCTCCTTTCAAATCTGCTCTCGTTTTCTCACCCTTGTTGTGACCTGAAATCTCTTTCAACACTGAGCTGACAGTCTGTGCTAGTTCCAGGTCTCTATTGAAAAACTGACTTTTGAAATTATTTGAATTTTCTTCAAAAATTGAAGCATGGACTGAAGTTTTTTTTTCCCCTTTTTTTTTCTTCTTAAGTTATTTTTTTGAATCTATTGTATTTTTCTAAACCTAAACACATGACTTCCAGAAATAAGTAATAATTATTTTTCAGACATTTAAAAAATAACGCTGTTCATTAAGTTTGTATAATGCACGTGTGTCAAAATGTCATGGATGCTGTAATAGTATCAACAAAAGGTCTGCAGAGTATCTCAAACAAGGACTCAGAATCAGACGCTAAGTTATTACCATACAAATATGTAATGTTTTTATTCTTGTTTTTTCATTACTATTACTATTACTATTCTTTCCCTCATGTTCACCCTCTCCCTCTCCTGTTGATCCTCCTGGCTGTTGAACAAAGATCAGACTCACTTGGAAAGGGTCACCTCTGGTCCTTTCTCTAGACTGGCCTGTTTGGAAAAATAAAAAAAACAATGGTATGAGGGTAAATAAAATATTGATAACAGAGTTGAGATTGACTAGTTTTAAGAGAGTGGCATATACATATACATATAAATATGGCATATTTTGTACCCCAGTGGCCTTGAATGCATGGTTGTTGTAGAATCGATCTTCCAGATTTGCAGCCCACTCCGCAGGGTCTATTCGACTTTCTACAAGAAAAAACAAACAAAAAAAACCAAGTATTTGACAGCAATAAATCATATACTGATGTCAATTAAGTTTCAGTTACCTTCTCTTTGTCTCAGAAGATCATCGAAGTACTCTGCCGCATATTTAGGAATGTCTTCAGGCTGGTCTCGCAGGACTTCTCTTGCCAGTCCCTCCAGGAGAGCACCAAATCCTCTCGGGACGCGCAGGTGAGTGTTCGAGAAAGGCACTGACATTTCTTTTTTCTTTTTTTTTTGGGGGGGGGTACACTGGCACAGGTAACTTTTGCGAAAGCAAGTTCGGAATGTATGTCGAAGTTTTCGCTTTAATTTACTCCTTAACGTAAGAGAAGGAAGCAAGGTGGCACCACGAAGTTCCGATAGTTTTGCGCATAGGATGTATTAAGCGAGCTAATGAAGCTATGAACAAAAAGTGAAAGTATTTCCTTTAAAGTTCTTGCAGTTCGTCTCCACCTTTACTTGTGAACGTTATATCCAACAGCTTAGCTATTGTGTTTTGTTTACAACCGTTTCTATGCAACGGTTGTGACTACGGACACTGACAAGGCTCAAATGTTTAAAAAAAAAAATCACATGGGTTTATTGTTTCAAGCAAAGCAATATACAAATATGTAGCGTTATACGATGGCATTATTTACAGAGGACAGAAAATATTTATTTGAAAGTATTAGATGCGGTGTTACGTCACAAACACAACGTTATTGTCGTCTTTTTCTTCCCATCCATCAGCAGCAACCTTCAGAGTCAGGCGTACGTGATGACGGCATACTCAGAGTTGGTGCTCATCTTCCGGCTGACCTCTCTGGGCTGAGGCACATGCAGTCTGTCAGCTGAACGTGAGGCCTGCAGGTTACACCTCGAGTCATCTCCCCGCCACTGCAGGAGAAGCACGGTGAAAAATAATGAATAAAAACTACAAGATCATTCTTTAATCACAAAGACGAGCTCAAAATACTTCTTGGGGCTTGTACAGAAAAAAAATGTCGTATTTTAGGATGAATTATTACCTGACAGTCAAATTTCCTCTAGGTTACGGCTTTTGTTACTCCAATAGCCTATAACTTTTTTTTTTTAATGAATTAACCTAATTTGATCAAATATAAACAATGTAGCTAATAAACTGACAGTATGCCTATTTAAAGCCATCTAAACCAATACAGTCTAATTTTACACCTCTGAACTAAATCTCAACCTGATAAAGGTTATCTTCAGTTTTTGAAAGACAGGTGCTTCAAGTGTTTACAGGCTTTAGTGTGTTTTACTGGGTTTTTTTTCCCGGTTTGCATTACACCACACATTTCTCTTATGTGTGGTGTTTTGTCCATGCCAGATAACAGCAACAGGTGACCACTTTAAACAACTCCTCATTTATGAAATATGCAATATATATAACTATAAAATATTATGAATGACTTTTTTAAAATTTTAATTCTGATATATTTTTTACATGTTTGTAACCACAGTCACTGATGCACTAGCTCCTTTACCTCAAATCCAAGTGTCTATAAATGTAACTTGTATAGCCTACTAACAACAACAAAAAAAAGTCAACACAATAACAAAGGCAATTTTTTGATTAAGACAATGCACTTGTTCTATACGGTTTCTGCTCTTGTAACAGACGACAATTGACCGTCCAATGAATTTGGCATTCAATAAGATAAAGAAACATGTTGAGTCTGAGGTTTCGTCCTTTACCTCTCTTTGATCTCCAGGGGTCAGGTAGCCGACCTGAGTGAGCTCTGGTGTACTAACGCCTCGCACAGTGATCATTATGTCAGCATAAGGAACCTCCGTGTCACTCTCACTGTCTGCGTAAAATAAATGATTTCGTCAATCAGAAAATGTTTAAACTCTGAGGTACTACTGTTGATGCAAATAAAATATGATCTTACCAGGTGTTGGAATCCTCAAAGTCACTCTCTCACTTTGTGTGGACTGTGGCCCTGTAGGGAATGTGGCAGGTATAAATGACAGGGCTACAAACAATTCTTTAAATTTAAAAACTACATTTTTAATTTTGTTTACCGTTCACTGGTAGGCAGACAGCATGAGGGGGTAGTGGTGAGCTGAAATAGTAAATAGATAAAGTAGCAAACAAAGTAAGAGATCAAAATGATAGATTTGTTTAAAATGGCAGCACACATTTACCACAAATGATTCTTTAGTAGTACTCACCCTGACCTGGACCCAACAGGCGGCCCTGTTGAATGTGACATAGACAAAATGTATTTTAGATACATCTGTGTCGAACTCAGAGATTTTCACTTTTCACAGCAAGTGTATATTCATAATATTTGTTTTTTTCACCTTTACAACTCAAGCTCTGTCTGTTCCGGTTCAGACACATGTAAGCTGCCAAAGCTGTGAGCACCGTGGCAACAGCAACCGTCACCGTTGCTAAGACTTTAATTCCAGTAAACTCTCCTGTTAACATAGAAACAAGAGGATAAACCTGATTAACAGAGAGGGGTTACTTTTCAGGTCTACAAACAGATGTGCATTATTCTGAAGAAAAATAAATGCATATTTGGGAATTTTATCATATTACTTAGAGACATTTGCCATGTTATAAAAAACAAATCCCTTGATTAATGCAAACTCACCTCCACTTTGATCTCTTGGCTTTGCAGGAAGAGTTGCTGAAATTTTTTAGAGCATGGTTTATGTAAGTGAACGTAATGCTTAAAATTATTAGAATATTTTTAACAAACATTTTACATTTTCCGAGGACCTTACCATTTTCAGTTTCAGTCTTTAGGGTAACTTTCCACGTTGGGGCTCTTCTTTGACCTAAGCCAGCCAACCATAAGAAAGATCAACTTTGAAATGACATCTACCCATGCCTTTGAAACAGCTCTCAACATTTTCCGACAGACTTTAAAAAGTATGTCTCATATTATCAATCAGTTTATAAATCTCTACCTTGAAGCTTCAGCTTAACGATTCGCTCTGTTTTTGGTAGAAGTTGTGGGTCGTCCGTTACAAGTGTATAGCATGTGTAGTTCTTCTCGAGGTCTTCAGCAGACACATTTGACAGACGAAGAGACACTGTGCACTTTGCGTGAGTACCGAAACAGACGGAGTTATCTGATGATTTACTCCAACAGCCGCGGACAAATTCAGTTGAGCAGTTGTAGGTGCAGTTTAATGTAAGAGAGTCTCCTAATGCTGTCGTTAAGATATCAACAGGCATCCTCATATTGACACAGGTCACAAATTCTGCAACAAGAAGATGTAACATGAACGTCAGAGCTTCTTTTTTTTCCATAGATGAATGCATTGTTGAATTTACCTGATGCATTTAACGCATTTAATCCAATGACAGAAGGTTATATACTCTACCTTGTGTCATCCAGATAATGAGCACAATGAAGTGAACCGAGATCATCATGCTTGCTTCTTGTTTTTCTGAAACCTCTTGCCAACCATGCAGTCAAATATGTTGTACTCTAGTGGTTTGGTGATGCTTGCACCTGCAGAAAGAATTGCTGTAATACCACACATATGCTCCAGCACATGGTAGAGGGAACAGGATGTGGCATACAACCGTTCTCAGAGATGTGTAAAAATAAATCTGAATTTTCCATTTATTCTGCCTGACTTCCTGCATAGAAAGTATGTTTCTGTTTGCTATATTACAAAGAACAGCAACAATGTTTTCTTAGATATTGTGATACCCAAAAGGCACTCAGACATTAAAGTAAACAATATTTTTGTATGCAATAACCTGCATAGAATAGATCTGGCACCTTGCTTAACAAAAAACGCTTATCTGCACATGCAACACCGCAGCGTACTCCGCCCTTGAACAGAGGAGTGTGTTGACACTGTGTTAAGTTTTGGAAATAATTTATTATAAAAGCCTCACAATTTGAAAGCAAGAGAGGTATTTAGTGATAAATCTTTCAACTTAGCCTCTGGACTGACTCAGATGATTCCATGAATCCATCTGATATTTCACATCTTTTTCATATTTTCTTCTTTGTGTAATCCCCAAATGAATTACACCAGAAACATAAATCATTCAAGTGATCCACTAACTGAGACAATATCTAGGTTAGCTTTAGCACACACTCATACATTATGAAAGTAGAAGGTACGGTTACAGAACATCACGGCACACCATTATTAGTGAAGGCGCTCGCATGGGAATCACATTACGTGCTCGGGTTTCACTCTCGATGCCTGAAGGCCTCTCACTTTCCTGCCTTTAAGCTTTCAGTCATGCGGGCTTAGACCAAAGAGTATTCATGAAAACACACATAAAAAAACCAACAACAGGGAAATGACGTTTAGGTATGAATTGCTCAGGAAAATAATGCATGCGTTTTATTTTTCAGCTTTAGGGGTTTGTCTGCTGCGGACACACTCTGGACTCGCCTCAGGTAGGAATGTTAACCGTTCAAAGTTATTTAGCTGTGTAAGTTAATATACTTGGTACTTATTGAATGATGAAAGACTTTTAAATGTGTCTTGACATTTATATTTGCATTTAAGACTCATTTGAAGGGAGCGCAGACCTTCCCCCTGATAACGAGACCGACATCAAATTGTGTCCAGAAGGAAAATACTTCTCCCACCAGATTTGCTTAGAGTGTTCGTGCGGTCATTTGTAAGTCTTCAACCTATTTTAAAATGTCTTTTCCTCTATATTTTCATTATACAAACAAAAGAAAATACATAGATAAGTGCGTTTTGTATTGTCTTGTATTATCTGTCCCCTGTTTTTCTTTTTGATTTAATGTCTGTTTTCTAATTATTTCTGTAATGACTCGATGTCATTGTAAAGGAGGGTTGCCCCTCAATGATCTTTTGAGTATAAATAAAGGTTGAATGAATGTTCACTCGGGACCTTTGCTCCTTTAAAGAGTCAATCGCAAGAATTAGATTAATAAAATATTTAACGTCTTTTATGACTACTGGTGAGATTGCAATATTGATAATAAATACATTGTATTTCAGTTGTCCTGGCAATGCATCTGCACCTCATAGATGTCCAGTAGGAACATTCAACCCATACACAGGGAGAAGTAGTATTAGTGACTGCAAGGTAAGAGAATCTGTGTGTGAAACCCTTAACTCATTCAACAGAGTGGTTTCAAAACTTCTGTCATTCAAATTAAAATTGCATATTCAACTTTGTAGAATTTTCATGTAGCTCATCAGATTCACCGCCCTGTCTCATCTATTATTGACCTGGTGAAGACGGAAAGCACTCTTTTAACAAGTTAAATGTCTAGATATCTTAATTCACTTGACTTTTCCCACCTTGTCATGTTTGTATAACCCTCACATACCTCAAACAGTGTGCTTGATACTGTGTGACAGCTTGTGATGTTTTGTCGCTGTCTTTCCTGCTGCAGCCATGTTTCCCTGGTCTGATCAGTTCTGAAGACAGAGTGGACTGTAGTCTGTGTCCGGCAGGTTTCACATGTGATCCCACCCTAGGGACCCTCTCCTTATGCCCCCCAGGGCAGCATTCTCCTGAGGGAGTCTTACAATGTCTGACATGCCCTGTGGACTCTATCTGCACCTCTGGCTTTCCTTTGAAGGTAACAACAATGGTTTCTCCTTAAATATGTTGAAACCGAGAGAGAAAAACATATTGTTTACATATATATGCTTGCTGAGGTGGGCTTCAAAGTCGGAACTAATTGCAGTCATTTACTTCCTCCCCTTGTTTCTTTGTTCATCTCTTATATGTGCGTTTCAGTGTGGGCCTGGCAAGGAGCCCAGCGCAGATCAAACTGTGTGTAATGACTGTTCCCCAGGCTTCTATTCCACTATGTGTACTATCCAGTGTCTGCAGTGTCCAGAAGGTAGTGCAGTAATAAAAGGCCAATTACTCATCCAATCTGCTCTCAGTACTCCTATATTTAAATAGTTTTAAAATAGTTTGAGATAAAATTGGTTCCATGATGATTTAAGTTGTCATCTGCTTGCTATAGGAAGTTACTGTCCAGACAGTGGTATGTCCCAGCCGCTCCCCTGTCCGCCTGGTTGGTCTTCCACACCTGCACAGACTCACTGCCTTAGCTGTAATGATACGTCTTCGCTGTGTGGAGAAGCTGTGGCCCCCCGCTGGAGCCAGCCGGTCCACAGGTCCAGTCAAACGATCACCTGTCGACCAGGAACGTACAAAGACACAAAGGAAGAGTCGGTATGTGTGGTTTGTCCAGTAGGTAAGTGTTTCATTTTCACTTCATGCTGACATTGATTTTACAGTTTGCATCCCTCCTGTAATAAAGCCACTTATGTTTGTGTTCCTGTTTTTCACGCCGCAGGTTATTACTGTGTGGGAGGTGCAGCTGTACCCTGCCCTGCAGGGACTTATGGCCCTAAAGAAGGTCTGCAGAGGCTGACCGACTGTGCAATCTGTCATGCAGGTTGAGTATCAACATAGGAAACTCTCTGTATTGTTGTTCTCACAGTTACACGTCCAAATGCTGTAATATGTGCAATCATATCAGTGGGTATACCTATAAAAATATCAAATAAATGGAGGTTTCTCCAGTACTATTGGCCAATGTGGCTTTAGCTTATAATTTATACTATGCTCTAAAAAACAGCTTTCCACTGAACTTATCTATAAGTACTTTTCTCTAGGGTTCTACTGTCTGGAAGGCAGCTCCCAGAGACCCACCTCCCAGTTCCTGTGCCCACAGGGCTATTACTGTGTGGAGGGCACAGCCACCCCTCACGAGTCACCTTGCCCTGCTGGTACAGCGGGGGAACAACTGGGCCAGACAAGTAGGGCAGCATGCAAGAGATGTAGAGAGGGACGCTTCTGTCCCGCAGGTAAGTCTCTGCAAAAATATACGGACTATATTGGGCATTAAATGCTCAATTCTTCAAAATATCAAGTTTCTTCAGCCATATATGAGGAGAAAACACTGAATGTAGAGGTCAATGTTACTTGAGGATGCAATGTGCCCACTATTCGACTTTTGACAGGATCATCTGCGCCAGGCTTTCCCTGTGCACGGGGGAGATACTGTCCTGCTGGTACCTTGGAAGAAGTGATATGTCCTCGAGGCACCTTCACCCCTCATCAAGGAGCAATAAGCAAGTCTAAAAGCCATTTTATTTATTTGTTAAACTCCCTAATCATTAAGTAATATCTACATTCACAGTCATGTTATTTTTATTTTACTGCATTCTAGGTATGATGCGTCTCCATGTCACTTATGTAGAACTGCAGTTATTGTTTGAGGACAGCCCTACAGTCCCTCTGCAGCTCAGTCTAGCTAATATGGAGCTCTATCATACATGTCTGTTATTATATAAAGTGTTGTTTGGTTCCCTTGATGAACTGGAAAATATAGATGAGAAATTGCAACAGATGGAGGCCAGAGGGACAAACAGAGAAAGCATCTAATTTAGCAATAAAAAAATAAGTGTGGATTGCAGGCTGGAGCTGTGAGGCCAGCATAAAAAAAAATATTAGAACTGTGATGAGAAACACGGACTATGTGCTACATAAAGACAGTAAATTAGATAAGTTTGCGAAAAAACATATTGAAACTTTGAATTAAATCGTAAAGACATCTGAATGAATACTAAACATCCTTTTTTAACATGATGACAACATATTCCCTCCAGGTGTGAAGGACTGTCTCAAATGCCCGGCTGGTTTTTACTGTCCTGAGGGGACGAGTGACCCTGTGCCCTGTCCACCAGGCTCTTTTAACCCCTTAGAGGGTCAGGCTGAGTTAGCTGATTGCAGGGAGTGTTATGCAGGGAAGGCCTGCACGCAAGTAGCCCTGAGAGCCCCTGATGTGGACTGTATGCAAGGGTAAGTAACCTCTTCAGACCCTCTTCAGAAGAATATTCTTATGTAATGCTGTTTAATTGTGTTTTCAAAATCATGCTATGAGACTATTAATACTGGTTGAGACTTTACAGTTTCTCTCAGTCGCTTTGGTACATTTCTCAGATCAGAATTGAAATTCTCAAAACTACTTGTTCAATCTTCACATCATTGTGTCACTTGTGCACATCAAAAACGCAGTTTCTCATTTCTTTGAACAAGTTGCAAATGCTTTGGTACATCCATGCAAATGATTATGTACAATTCTCTACTGTTTCCTACATTATCAGTTGCATCAAAATGTATTATAATGGGTCTCTGTTGAATTGTCTCACCCCCCTCAACATTTCCGCATTAGTTCATCGCATAAGTCTTTACATGCAAAATGGCTGAATAAGTTGTCATAATATGTCAAGCACATTTCTATACATTTCCATTAGACTTTTTTTCTAAATCTGTCCTGAATTGGTAAATTGCTCCCAGGTGAATCTTGACTTTCTCTAATGAAGGGAAATGTGTGAAGCATTAGAGCAACCAATAATCAACCAGTTTTCTGGTTGAACCATCAACTGGCAAGTATATATATAGCCGGAGCAGAACACAATGTTACAATGTCTGACAATGGAAGGACAAGGAATTGGACGGGGTCAACAGCCAGAGAGAAGAAAAAGAGGAAGAGGAGTGAGGCTGCGTGGCGGAGGAGCTGGGAGGCAAAACAGAGGAAGAGGCAGAAGAGGCCGAGGACATATGCGCGTTCCTGATGAGATAAGAGCCACACTTGTAGACAACGTTCTCAATCATGGGCTTACAATGGCCGAGGCTGGTCGAAGGGTGCAGCCAAATGTTGGGAGAACAACTGGAAATACTGGAAAGTATATGATCTCCAGCCACATGCACAGATGACCCTCCTTGCTGCCATGGATGCAGCGTGATGACATCACAGCAGATGCCTGCAGAGGCTGGATAAGACACTCTAAAAAGATTCTTTCTACGCTGCATCGCAAGAGAAGATATTCGTTGTGATGTGGATGAGAATTTGTGGCCCAACAGACAGGAACGTCAGGAGGTGTAGGAAGACTGCACTGTAATTCCTACAGCACTGCATGTACAGGTTTCCCTTAGGAGATTGTCCTATGTTCACATTTCTACTTTGTTTTTTTTTGTTTTTCTTTGTGCTATACAGTGCTGTCTTTTCCTTTCTGTATCGCAATGACATGGTCTGTCAACAAATTACAGTACAAACAGTAAAAGCGTAAATGTGAATCTTGTCCAGTCTCTTGCAATCAATCTCCCACATACACTAAGGTGTAACTTACAATTTACAATAATTGTCATCAGAACTTTAGCCATAGTTTGTATCAAAACACCCCTCCAGAGTACACTGTTATATTGACAACATGACTAAGCAATTTGACTGTCTTATCCGTACACAATGACACAAGGACTTGTCATTCTGATGGCACTGACATGTTCATTGACACATATATTTACTTTTGAGAGATGAACTAAGGCTTTTGAGCAAGAGACTGGCTTTTGCAGGTAATCCATGGTGTTTTGCTATTTGCACGAATTGTTTTGAGAAATGCACTTACAGTTTTGCAAATGTCGAGGATGATTCGAGAAATGTACCAAAGCAACTGAGAAAAACTGTAATATAATTTGGTGGAAGCAATCTAATCTTTTCTTGATTCCCCCTCCCCTCAAGTCAGGTGTGACATTATTCAGTAACTGTTATCACTCTTTGTCAATCTTGATAGGTTTGTGTGCCCCCCTGGTTCCTCTAAACCCAACGCGCCATCAAACGCCTGCCCACCAGGGACTCTAAGCAATCGCACTGACCTGACTGACCGCTCACAGTGTCAGCAGTGCCCCGCTCGATATGCTTGTCTTCGAGGTGCCATTTATCTTTCATACATATCCATGAGTTGTCTTTTTCAAACACTGTGAAGTGTTTCAGAAGAATACATGCATTTACTGGCCTTGCCTAAATAAAAATGGATGAAATAGTATCAAAATATTGTATATTTTTCATTGTGAGTCGACCTGATATAACTTCAATGTTATGCACATTCTTATATCGCACATTTGAAATGAAATGAGCCATCAGTTATGGGGCGCCGATTGTAAAGTTGCGCACACTACAAATAACAACAACATTTCTCCACAGCCCTAAAAAATAACTTTTTATTCACATTTAGAGAAATATTTGTGAACTTTGTCATTTTTACTTTTGTGAATAAAAATGTAAGACAATTTCATTGGCAAATGTGTTAAATATTATATCTAAATGTTGAATGTTTTATCTAAATGTTAAGTGTTATATATAAATGTTAAAAATAAATCTCCTGATTCTAAATATTTAGCTACGTTTCTAAACATTTAGTTTACATTCTAAATATTTAGTTTTGATTCTATATATTTAGCTAAAATTGTAAATATTTATAATCAAAGCTAAATATATAGAATATAAACTAAATATTTAGCAACGACTTCAAAATATTTAGAGTCTTAGCTAAATATTTAGAGTCTTAGCTAAATATTTAGAAGTGTAAGCTAAATATTTAGAGTCTAAGCTAAATATTTAGAGTCTTAGCTAAATATTTAGAAGTGTAAGCTAAATATTTAGAGTCTAAGCTAAATATTTAGAGTCTTAGCTAAATATTTAGAAGTGTAAGCTAAATATTTAGAGTCTAAGCTAAATATTTAGAGTCTTAGCTAAATATTTAGAGTCATAATTAGAAGTCGTTGCTAAATATTTAGAGTCTTAGCTAAATATTTAGAAATCGTTGCTAAATATTTAGAGTCTTAGCTAAATATTTAGAGTCTTAGCTAAATATTTAGAAGTCGTTGCTAAATATTTAGAGTCTTAGCTAAATATTTAGAAATCGTTGCTAAATATTTAGAGTCTTAGCTAAATATTTAGAAGTGTAAGCTAAATATTTAGAGTCTTAGCTAAATATTTAGAGTCATATTTAGAAGTCGTTGCTAAATATTTAGAGTCTTAGCTAAATATTTAGAAATCGTTGCTAAATATTTAGAGTCTTAGCTAAATATTTAGAAGTGTAAGCTAAATATTTAGAGTCTAAGCTAAATATTTAGAGTCTTAGCTAAATATTTAGAGTCTTAGCTAAATATATAGAAATCGTTGCTAAATATTTAGAGTCTTAGCTAAATATTTAGAAGTGTAAGCTAAATATTTAGAGTCTAAGCTAAATATTTAGAGTCTTAGCTAAATATTTAGAGTCTTAGCTAAATATATAGGATCAAAACTAAATATTTAGAATGTAAACTAAATGTTTAGAAACGTAGCTAAATATTTAGAATCAGGACATGTATTTTTAACATTTATATATAACATTTAACACTTAGATAAAACATTCAACATTTAGATATAATATTTAACATTTATATTTGCCAATTAAATTATCTTACATTTTTATTCACAAAAGTAAATATGACAAAGTTCACAAATATTTCTCTAAATGTGAATAAAAAGTGATTTTTTTAGGGCTAAATGTGGAGAAATGTTGTTGTTATTTGCTGTGTGCGCAACTTTACAATCGGCGCCCCATAATCAGTGCCCTTACCAATTTGATCATTATAACCAATTTGATCATTTATGTTTTATCAGGAACTGGTGGTATCCAGAGACCCCCCATCTCCTGCTTTGCAGGGCATTATTGTCCCCCTGGAACTATGTTCCCCACCCAGTTTAAGTGTCCAGTGGGGATGTGGAGTAGTCAGAGTGGATTGGAAGCTGAAAGCGAGTGTCGGCCTTGCCCTCAGGGCAAGTACTGCTTGGCTGGGTCTGGAGCTCCGTCGGGTCGATGCAACTCTGGACACTACTGTCCTGAAGGTACACACGGGTGATACTTGAATATGAAATTGAGAAGTATTAAATTTAATTAAATGAAACCGTCTACGACACTGATTCAGAAATATTAGGCATGTGGTACATTTTCTTTTAAAACTTTTTGCGAGAGAATTTGATGAAATATGATGTTTCCTCATGTAGAGCTGTAACCATGATTCATTCATGCATGTTTAACTGTTTTGATGTTGCTTCTCCAGGGACTGCATATGGCACCCAGTTTCCCTGCCCTGCAGGCACCTATAGCATCCAAATGGGCAACAGACGCAGAGAAGACTGCCTGACTTGTCCCGATGGCACATTCTGTCAACAGGGAACCTCTAAACCTTCCCCCTGCCCTCCGTAAGCAGTGGATATCAGAATGATTTGAAAATAATGTTGAAGGTGGTGATATTAGGGAGAGAATCTGTTAAAATGAAGTAAAATGAGTCCACCTG